CCCCAAAACCCCAAAACCCCAAAACCCCAATTTTTGCCTAAATTGTTGAAATACATTTATTTTGACCAAACATGGGCAACACCTGTTGAATTCAGCCACACCAGTATGATGAGAATAAGACAACCTGGATCACCTATGAGAGCTTGGCTCAGGACTTTGAGGATCATGAGGACCCAGGGTTCTTGCTTACTCAAGAAAGCAAAGCCAAAACTTGCTCTTTCAAGATTAAGATAAGCAAATTCAGAGGCAAAAAGTTTTGCTGTAATAAGTGCTATATTGACATTAAGTTCGATAATGATAATCAAAAGTTAGCCATTAGCTCTGATTCTAGCAGCGGCAGAGAGAATCTTAAGTGGAGCCTAGACCAAACCTTGTTCCTTAGAGAGAAATATGGCAATTTGAAGCGGAAATATTTCAACTTAAGCTTAAAAAGGAGAAAAGATGATACAGACCCTTTCGCAAAGCTTAAAATTGACTTGCTGACGCTTGCTAATGGCCCTATATGATATACAGTCAGAATGAAGCACATGCATAGACCTGATGAGATTGCAGGAATACTTTCGTTTAAGGTGGAAGTAGAGCAACTCCAAAATTTTAGTTTAACTCTAAACAGTATCAACTGCAAATTCTTATCCAATATGCACAAAGGGATGTACATTACCTTCAGAATTATCACCTGTGGGGATAGCTTAGACAGTGATAAGTCTAAATCAGTTATTGGAGAGTTTGCACCAGATGAAACGTACCAAACCAAATATAAATGGGATACAATGAGTGACGAAGGAAAAGACATCCAAATCCAGCTTACCACCACCATCGAAAGCCTCAAGTCTTCCTCTGTCCAGGTGTGCGTCTGGAACGATAAATCCATGAGGAAGTATGACGACATGGCTGAAATTCGGTATAAAAGATTTCTAAATTCGGATTATGAAGATCACTGATCTAGCCCAAGAGTTTGAAAAGCCAAAAAGGTGCGATCAAGGGCTAGGCTAAATAGCACAAAGGAGATTCCTGAATTAAAATATGAGTCAGCAAACCCAGCTGATTTATCAAAGAACAGCATTGATTTGCTTAAGATGGACTCTGGCATTAAGACTGCCAATAAGCTTTTGAATGAATCTATGGTTGAAAATGTAATCCAGAAAGCACTTATTAAGAAAATTAAGAAAAGAAGAGCAGATATGGCTAATCTTGAGGGTGAATGTTACTTTTCCTTCCAAAAACTGCTTTCCAAAGAGTTCAGAAATATGGATAGGAAGGATTACGATAAATTTGAAGAGGCTATGAGAAAACCTGAATCTTGTGCAAAGTTAAAAGCAGGAAAGTCAGTTCAACAGCTTCAAACTAGAAAATCTTTCAGTAAGAATCAGGTAAATGACAAATTCTTCAAGGAAACGATTTGGCTCTTTGGAAAGAAAGTTGGTCAAACCAAAGGTATTTTCAAAGTCAAACTTGGAAACGCTATGCACCAAATGGGAGTAGGAGTCATGACTGAGAATGGTATCAGCTTCTCGACTTCCTTAGTCCTTGGCATTCCAAAGCCGCTGAAAAACATTGACCTCAAGAGATTCTTTAAGAAGGGAGAGGAGCACGGGAAACTTCCAGAAAAATTCATCCAGCTTAATAAATTAGTCAAAGAACTATATGAATTAGAAAAGACTTGAAGTAAGAGATCAATGAAGCTTATTCAAAAGCGAGAAAATCTCCTTAAAGAAATTATTGGAGAACTAAGCAAGACGATTGGATCTAGAAAATAACACTATATATAATGACCTTCTCTGCTTGATCAGAACTCAGGACCTTCTCATCGTCTTTTACCTGCATTGCATCACTGTCTGCGACAGAGTCTCACAATTAGAAGTCAGACAGTACTACTACAAAATAATGCTACAGCTGCTGAAGAGTCAAGAACTGGAGCTGGCCCAAATCGGATTCAGAGGAGATTCCATGCTTAATAAATCTGTATTCGGAGTTACAGGAACTCCTAGACAGAAATTCATGAAGCCAAGCTCCAAGCTGAACAAGATTGGTATAAAAAATTCAAGTAAAATCAAAGGATTCATGGCTAATCATGAAAATGTGAACCAAAATTTCGAGAACTCGAAGGCTAATCTAGAGGACGTGATCAAAAGTAACAAGGTTCTGATAGGTCTGAACTATCAATACGTCCTTTGCAAGACGTTGAAGTATGCTTTGAACAAGCTAGGCAGGAGAGGAGGTATCTCAGACGACCATCTCAGAGATTTCATTGAAAAATTCATACCAATTGCGTACTTCCGGATACCAACTTTTAGAGAGAAATTTTTGACAATTATCTCTCAAAGTATCATTGAAGAGGACCAAAAGGATGCTCAGAAGACTTCAAGCAGTGAGAACGATGAGTCTTTGAAGGAAACTACACCTGAAGACAGCTTCAAGTTGAAGGAAGCTCCTGAGGCTCCACCTCTGCGAAGTAGCAGATCAAGCATTAAGCGTCTAAAGATCCTTAAGTCTGATGAAATCAGCGAATGGTTCAGAATTGAATTTCCGAAAAGAGATGACTATGAGCAGAAGCATGTTCCTAAATCTATGGTAGCTCTAGATGAAAGTGAGGCTACCTCGTCAGACTCTGATGAGCAGTATCTTCCTCAAGAAACCAAGCCTGCAACTCCGAAGTTGCCTTCTAAGAAGTATGGAGGGGCTATTGGCCATATATTCGACTGGGATAGGCACTTCTATGATCATCTCCCTGATGGAAATGAGCAGAAGAAAGAAAGCGACAAGCTCCTACAAAAATGTGTCGATGACTCAGACTGGCACGATAGAATTAAGAAAAGAGGAATAGGGTTTTTACTTATAGTTGCTGAATGGTCCAAGTTCGTCAAAGGATCTATTGTTCCTAAGAATATATTTTGGCAAGATGTTCCAGGATACAAGCTAATCGTTAAGGCTATACTACGAGAAATGAAGAATAAATCCCTCTTGTTGTACCCAGAGGCCCTGATTGATTGCACAATGTCGTTGCTATCAAATGAAAAGGTAAGATAACTTTTAATATTTTATAGGTGTTATCTGTCTTAGTAAAGATTGTGTTTAAGAAGACAAATATCTATGACAAGATTCAAGTGATATACTCCATTGACCTTGTCATAAAGTGGCTAAACAAGCTCCAGAACAACTACCAGTACATCCCTGCATCGTTTGATTTCTCCTTTTTCAACCAATGAGTAAAAACATTGTTGGATCAAGATCACCTAATCTTGAGGACAAAATGTCTCTGGATGATATACAAGAGCTTGCATTTGTTTCCAGCAGAGGCAAAGGAAGAACTCATCAACATGATAGTGACTAAGTATTTCAACAAGTTGTTTTTCAACTGGTCTTTCAACGTGAGGAGTTTGGTCACTCATGTTCTCCTGTATCAGCTCCACTTCATTCATTTTGAGATGGTAAAGATCATGAACGAGAAGCCAAAGCACCGTAAGAAGAAAGAAAAGACTCCCAAGAGGGATAAATTTGAGAGTACGATCATGCGCAACCTCCAGAAACCGAAGAAGGCAGCCCCTGAGGTTGATGATGAAGAAGCTCATTACGAGCACAAAATTTGTAAGTCATATTTGGATAATCTATAGCTGAGGAATATGAGAAAATAGCTATTCTCAAAAACACTGATGTAATCAAATAAAGTTAAGGAAAGGATGGATGACATTAAGTTCTTGGTATCTTACTATACTGGGAAAGACTCACGAATCCATAAAAGCAAGCCCAAGAAGGTCTATTCTGGGGAGAAAGATGATGACCAAATGGAGAGTAATACACGATATCAAAAGATAATCAAGAAGATTCCTAAGAATCTCCATGTTTATGTAGAAGTAAGTATATTTTGAACCTTTTCTCATTATTTTTAGCCTGCCATCACTCAATTCGTCAAAGAAAGAGAAGCATATGAGCTATGGGCAGATAAAAGCAGACCTGTTATACGAGACAAGCAGTTGTTTATGGTCTTTGACCACCTTCCTGAGATAAAGCTCAACGTCCCCGTGGACGAACCCCATATTGTCTCTGATGAGTGGTAATTTTATGCAGAATATTCAAAATTTATTTCTAAAAAGGGGTTTTGGGGTTTTGGGGTTTTGGGGTTTTGGGGTTTTGGGG